CGCCATCGTTGCACCAGAGAGCATTAATGATGAGGCCGAGCCACGAGGCTGGCCGCCCCAAATCTCAGAACAAGCTGCGATCGCCGAGGGACTACAGACGTGAGGTCTTCAACCCCTCACAAATAATTAATATTCATGTAATACTATCAATAAGAGTAGAGTAGGAGGTTCAACTGATATACACTCCTCCGTTATTACAAGCGAACAAAGGAAATGCTCGGCAATTTCCGTGCAGTGCACCCCCTCCCGTTTCTCCTCCCCTTCCGCTTCAGGTGACGCGCGCTCTGCCGGAAAATGGGTCCTTATTCGTCGCCGCCCCGGACGTCGTGTTCCTACCTGGCCGTCGTGGGCGGCCTGGCTGGGCCTGGGCCACTCGAGCGTGCGGGCCGAGCGGGCCGAGCGGGCGGGGGCCGCGACGTCTAGACGCCACCAGGCCGCCACAAACGGGGCCTGCCCAGCGCCCTGCGTGGCCCAGCGCCCTCCGCCCGCCGCCCCCGCGTCCATCAGTCTCCAGCCGCCTGACGTCAGAATAGACAAGCCCTGACCCGGATCAGCCCGTAAACCCCCTAGTTTGGCCGGTTGGCCGCAAACATGATCCTATTAAGGTGATGCACCCCGGCGCCGCACCCTCCCCCTGCCGCGACTCGCCCCGCCTCGCCCCGCCCCGCCCCGCCCCGCCTCGCCCCGCCTCACCCCGCCCCGCCACTGCGCTGACACCATTCCGCCCACCATTCCGCCCCTCCGTGCCATCCAATTCATCTCGCACTTCTGTCACAGCGAGAGCCAGTCAATGCTTTTGCCAAGCCGGGAAGAGGGCGCGTCTGCCTGTCGGCCCGTCCGCCTGTCCGCCCGTCTGTCTGTCCGCCCGTCTGTCCGCGCGTCCGCCAGTGGCCGACGTGCGCCACCGAGCCAAGCCCCGTCGCAAAAGAAAGCAGCCCGGCTGCGACTCGCCTCGCGAAGCCCAGAGCAAAACACTGTGGAGACGTTGGTGCCTGGATGGAGAGGTCTTGTTGCGCGGCTTGGCTAACGAAGCAATGGGGATCAGGGTTCGCGTCCACAAAGTTCTTTTCGTTTTGACGTTCAACACATTCCCCGAGCTAGTCCACCGTCCACTGTGTCCGCGGGAGCACAGGTATCTCCCCCGCACTCTGGCGAACTGGGTCGCCTGTGTCATTTCCACTCAAACTCAATCTTTTATTTTTGAAAGTTTCGAACTTTTTGGTGGACGTTCCTCTGCCCTCACCTGGCAGGTGGCTCGCACCGAAGACGCTGCGTGGGCGGCGACGGCGCCCCGGGCTCCCCGGCGAGGAGGGTGGTCGACTTGTTGCGGCCCATCGCGGGGACGGCCTTGGCTGCCGAGGCGGAGGCGCGGCGGCCCGGCGCGGCTCGAGCGCCGCCCGTTGTGCAAGCGGCGGCTTCGCACTTCGCAGCTTTCACGGCGTCCCTCTTCCTGGTTCCGATTGGGCAGCGCCGCCCGCTATCTGCAGTCGCACTGGCCCATCACGGGGCTGTGGAGCACGCGCAGCACGCGCCGCGACAGGTGGACTGCGGCACGCGGACGTGACCACGCCGTCGTGCGGACATCCACCACCACCACCGTGCCGCCGGTCCCCTGCTTCGCGGTGCTGTGATGCGGTGGCGCGGCCTCGCCGGCGTGCGTCACGCACTTGTCGTGCTGCTCGTCGCGGGGCGTCCCTGTACTGCCCGCCGGTGCGGCGCCGCGCGACCCCCAGTGCAGTGCTCCCTCGCGCCGTCCCGTCCGCACTGCGCACTGCGCGCCGGAGCAGCAGAGCAGCGACTGCCGCGCGCCGCCTGCCCTGTGGCGGGGCCAGGCGGGGCGCAGAGGCAGAGGCGCCGCGCGACCAAGGGATGGTGCCCCCACCCCCCACCCCGCCGCGCTCCAAACTCTCGCACGTTGCGAGCGATCTAAAATAGAGAGCGGCCATGCAATCCCCCCCCCCTCCTCCTCCTCACTCTTCTCCCTTTTATTTTTTATCGGCCGCTCGGCTCCCGCGTATCGCGCGGATGAGGGAGAGGTGCGAATCAAGATTGGCCGCGGCGCCTCCGAGACCTTGGCACCGCGACGACTAGGGATCCCTCTTCCGGGGGATGCAGTAGTGATTCCTGGGGGTAGCACCAGGCCAAAGGGCACGCGGGTTTCCCTCTCGTCGGACACGGAACGCCACTTCCCCACGACGCCGAGCCCCGAGCCCCGCGCCCCGATGCCGAGGGTGCTGGTCCAGGCTCATCCCCTCCAGGAAGGCGTGGCGGTGTCGATGCCAGGGTATAAATAAAGAGACGAGGCGCGCGCCGTGCTTGTCACGTCGGCATGGCGACGCCGAGCCTCGAGCCTCGACGCCGAGTCCAGGCCGGCCGGACTGGCTTGGACGCCCTGGAGGCGGGGCTGGACCCCGCGCCCCCCGCGACACACAAGCCGCAGGGCTGGGGGCCGCCGGGGCCGCCGGGCTGTGAGACGGGCCTCTTTGTCACGTCTGGCATTGGGTCACCAATCTCGGTCACGCCCATATTCTGGCAAAAATCATTCCGCTTTTGCGCAGCGCGGGGCGGTGCGCACTGAGAGCGGCGCTGGCGGCGAACTGGCGCGGCGCGATCCGAGTTGAGGCGACTGTCCCACGGCCTGCTCGGCCTCCTGCGTGCTTCTTTTTCTTTTCGCAGCCGTCGGAAACGCATCCTTCCAGAGAGGGCTGGAGGTCGGCACGTGGTCGCCCCCAGCCTCGCCTACTTCTAGTGGGGCGGCACTCCGGTCCCTCCTCGCCTCGCCACGCCGGGCCGAGCCGGGCCATCTCACTGTCTCACGGTCTCCCTCTGATTCAATTGCATTCCTAGTGGGCTGCCGGCCTCTGCGGCCGCGACGGCAAGGCGGGCGGAACCACCCCGGAAACAACACGGCCAGCGAAAACAGCAGCAAGAGTGATGAAATTGAGACCGACTGCCCGCTCCCAGTGCTGCCACGTAAGGGAAAAAATATCATTCAACGAACGTTAATGAAAGCAGATGATCCATCGCGTATCACAACTGCTGTGATAGCCGAGAGGTTAGAGACGTGGGATCGAGTTACCGCAGGCGGGCGTTCGAATACCAGCGTCACATACATTTTTTCGACTTACTATCCGAAGGGTGGTGGTTCGAGGCCATCCGAGCGGAGCCGTGTGCAACAGACCCACATGTCGGAGGTTCGACTCCTAACAAATATTTCCATTTAATTTTACTGCCTCACCCAGTGCGGTTGAAACCCGTGAACGTGAGCCCACTCCGTGCATGGGACGTGGTGGTCCAGGGAGTAGAGGCGTCGGTTCCCAATGCTAGGGTCGGCGGTTCGACTCCCCCAACTTCTTGCGAAATTTTGACCGGGTCGGTCGAGTCCTGTTGCGTCAAGAACCCACCTCACGCCGGTCCCCTCATCGTGGGCCGTGGTGGCCGAGAGCGTAAAGTCGTGTGATCCCGGTGGCGGGGTCCGGGGATCGAATCTCATCATTTCGTTACATTTTTCGTCTGCCTTCCTCCCACTGCAACTCAAACCCGTCGTCCAACACGCTGCCACACGTACAAGCGTGATAGCGTAGTGGTCAGAGTCACATTCACCTGGCCACTCCGCTGTGGGTGTCTAAAAAGCAATCCGCTTCGGCGGGTTGGCCTCGGCACTGGAGCGATGGAGTATTTGATCCATCAATCCAGACCATCCGGTGTGTGGTTGCGGGTGGTGCCTCCTTGACTCGTCGGGGAGGCGATGATAAGTCCTTTGAAGCTGGCCTAAAACGCTGTATGTTCGGTACGGGAGCGCCGGACAGTGGGGGTACCATGGGGTACACAACCAACCCTACGAAAACAAGAAGCTCCCACCAAACCTCTTCTCTGTCTGAGTCTCTCTCTGTCTCTCTGTCGTCTCACTCTACGTCCCGCCCCTCAAAGAGCTTCGTACTGGGTGCTCTCACCCTACTGCCTGAGCTTTGGGGTCCTACTGGGTCCCCCGGCGAACGCTTGGGTCGCTGACGGGATTAACCCCAGGTACCTGATAGCACCGGTTCCCATCCCGAACACCGAAGTAAAGCAGGAGGCCTCCCCATTAAGACTGGGGAGGGGGTGTAGAGTTCAATTTTTTTTTCTTTTCCCTTTCAAATTTCTCGGTCAATACTCGTTCGGTTTCCTTGTACGGGCTAGTATGCGGGCTCATTCCAATGATCCCTCACAATGATCCCTCTTCCCCGCTGGCTTGGTGAGCCAGTGGTTCCCCCATCTCATCACAGGGGCAACCTCAGAGTTAAATCGCAGTGGCCCCGTCATTGGTCAACGTCATCTGTGATGTGGAGGAGTCCTCTCATAGTAGGCCAGGCTGCCACCTTTCCCAGTAGTCGGGTTTCGATCCCGGCCCCAGTAAAAATGTGTGAGTGCCGGGAATCGATCGCCCGATCCGGGCGCCGAATTCGGGCGCCTCTGCCTGCGCAGGGAGTCCGCCTGCGGGGACGAGTGCGACGCCGCGCCGCGCCGCGCTGCCCGTTGGGCTGCCTACCTTGCCGGCGGCCGTGCGGCGTCAGACTGCCAGAGCTTCTCGGGCCATCGACGCCCTCCTGGCGCATCGCGCTGGGCCTCCTGTACTGCACAGTGCAGGCGACCGGAATCCGTGGGGAATCTCGGTGGCGGCAATGCCGGGCAATGCTGGGCGACACCGGGCAGTGCCGGACGGTAGCCGGGCGTCCTTAGCGTCCTTAGATAGCGCGGCACTCTTATCGGGAGGAGCAGCAGGCTGATTCCGACGAGTCATTTCGCCACTCCGTCTCTGTCGCTCTCACGGAGCGCCCCGTTCGGGTGCGACAGAGACAGGGCCACTACGACTACTACTCGGAATCGCTCGCCAGGTGTGATAATGCCGGGTGCTTTATGACATTCTCAATCACCGTCCGAAAGTCCGTGTCGGCTTCGGCCTTGGAGATTACCAGACAGAATGGAGCAGGATTGAAACGCGCGGCAGAGGGTAGGCGTGCTGTATTTTCTTACTTTCTTTATTAACAAATAATATCTGCTACTTACAAAATAATACACGGAATACTCTTCCTCAAATTTGAAACCAAAATCAGTCCAGGCATTTTGGGGGCAAACTAACAACTGAGGTCTTCAGATTTGCACAGCAAAACTACTCTTGAGAAATTGAGTATACACGCGAGAATGATAATTTACACTTATGACGATGACTATATAATAGGTGATATGGCACGAGATAGCGTTAAGTATAGCGATGGGCGTTTTTAAAATGATTGTCCTGGTATCACTGTGACAATCCAGACTGGGTTACATAACAAAACCGCAAGGCGGCCACACTTTTACAAAACTAAAGCAGCTGGGATAGAAACACCGTCCAAGTGACGCGACGGTTCTGGCCCACCTGGTTTCATCAACCTATTGAAATTTATTCGATTTCCTGAGTTTTGTGCGTATTGACCAATCATGAAGAAGCGGTCTTTACGATGAATACTTAGTGGTTCGATTTTACTTTTCTAACAGAGCAGCAAGCGCGACATGGGAGAAGCTACACTACCTGCTGCAGTCCAGTGCTCCCGCGCAACGTCTGCGTTACGTATTTTTCGGTACTTTGCAGGAAGCCTCGAGGTGCACGAGGGACTACCGCGACCTTCTGCCACTCAGGATGTCCTGCACCTCCTGCTGGGACTTGCCCTTGGTCTCGAAGACGAGCACCAGGACGAACACGGTGGCCGCCACGCAGCAGCCGCCGAAGGTCCAGAAGGTGCCCGCCGTGCCGATGCTCGTCATCATGGTGCCGAAAACCTGCAGCATGAGAAGAAGGGGGTCAGCATCTAGGAGGCGACCGAGGCGACACTGTTGGGCGCGGGTTGGGCTGCCCTTACCTTGGTGACGGCGAAGGCCATGATCCAGTTGACGGCCGCCGCGACGGTGGAGGCGGACCCCTTGACCTCGTTGGTGAAGATCTCGCCGGCCATCATCCAGGGGATGGGCCCAAAGGCGAGGCTGAACACCACCACGAACAGCACGACGCACATGAGGGGCAGCCACCCCAGCTTGGACACGTCGGAGCCGGACTCGCTCATGTAGAAGTACACGCCCAGCAGGATGTGCATGGCGGACATGATGGCGGCGGAGCCCAGCAGCAAGATGCGGCGACCCGCGCGCTCCACCAGCAGCGCGGCGGCCAGCGTCGCCAGGACCTGCGCGACGAACACGGAAGGGAGAGGTTGGACACGCCAACGGTGTGAGGGCCGCGGACTACCCTGCCCCGCTGAGTCTCTCTAGCATACCTGCACCACGCCTACGATTATAGTGGCGATGCTGGGGTCCAGGGTGCTGCCCGCCGCCTTGAAGATGGTCACGGTGTAGAACATGACGGCGTTAATGCCGGAGACCTGCTGGAACACCATCAGGCCGAGGCAGATGACGAGGGCCTTGATGACGGCGCGGGACTTCAGCATATCTCTGGAAGGCGTGAGGTGTGACGGTTAGAGACCCGAAGAGAACGGAGCAAATAAGTGAAGCCGCTACCGGGATTTGAACCCGCGTTACCCGAGGGACGCGTCGTTGCGCGCGGCCTCCTGCAGGTTGCGCTGCATCTCCCCCAGCTCGGCCTTGGCGCCGCGGTACGACGCGCCGCGCAGCCTCCGCAGTGCGGCCTCCGCGTCCGCGGGCTTCCCGGACTTGAGCAGGTGCAGCGGGGTCTCGGGCAGGAGCAGCACGGCCACGCACCACACGATGGGCACCATCATGCTCACCGCGGCCAGGACCGTGTACGACGCGAAGCCCCCCACGATGAAGGTGAGCAGGATGCCTGCGAGGGAGAAGCAGACGGCGTTGGTGTTTTCAACTCGCGGATCATTTGAGGCTCCACATGGAGGACGCGGTTCGAGGACGCACCGATGGTGACCTGCAGCTGGAAGAAGGCGCCGAGCGTGCCGCGGATAGACACCTCGGCGATCTCGGCGGCGTACATGGGGGCGGCCACGGAGGTGGCGCCGGTGGCCAGGCCGCCGATGAAGCGCGCGGCGTACAGCATGGGCACGTTGCTGGCGAAGAGGATCAGCAGCCAGCTGAAACAACAAGCCAGCCAATAAAGCACTTGAAGCAGCCGTAAATCAGAGGCCCTAGAGGCCGCGCGGCTAAACGCGGGCTGAGGCTGGAAATGTAGAGCCCGCGAGGGTGGATCTGGCGGTCGGTATCGCCGCGGCGGGGCGGGGCGGGGCGGGGCGGGGCGGGCGGGGCGGGGCGGGGCGGGGCGGGGCGGGGCGGGGGTGGAGGAAGACGCGAGTACGCCGAGAACACGCATAATTCACGATCCCGCGCACGCCGGCGCGGCGCACCTCAGCGCTACGCCACGCCACGCCCCGCCACGCCATCCTCCGATAATCGAGTCCATACAGTATTCCCATTCCCTGAACAGGCGCTCCTCGGGCCGGCGGCGCCGCGCCGAGTGACGCGGCCAAGGCCGTGTTTGCTTACCGCGCACCGCGCCCTCCTCGGCCGCCGTCACAGCTGCACCCTACCTGATAACGAAGGGCACGGACAGGGCCAGCATGGTCACCTTCCTGCCCAGCTTGTCCGTGAGCGGGCCCGCGGGCACGGCGCCGATGCCTGCGCCGATGGGCATCAGGGAGCCGATCCAGGAGCCCTGGTCCGGGGAGACGGGCAGGAACGAGTCGTCGGCCTGCAGCGCCTCGAGCGTGGGCGCCGTCCAGGCCAGGACCGTGCCGGCGGCCAGCGCGCCGAGGGTTGCTGCGGGAGGAAGGTCAGCGGTTCAATAATGTTCAGCGCAGTGTCGCCGTCTTTTCAGCAGTGTGCGCTACGTACCCAGGAAGCCCGCGACGTACTGCATGAGCTTCTCGCCCTCCTCGCGGGGCGCGCTACCGCCGTTCAGCTCGGGGCCGTTCTCCAGCGCCACCATGGGCGTCTCCTCGCGCTGAGTCGTCGCCATATTGCACTGCACGCCGAGAAGGAAAAGAGCATGACAGTGTCACTTTCACTATTTGTGGCAGTGTATCGTTTTCTCTGAAAGCTATGTTGGCCATCGTCCATGTCGGCTGAGTGTTTCGATGTGCAGGCCGATCATTGATTCAGAAGGCAGCGTGCAAATTGACGCGGGGAGTTATGGACAGGTGCAGGCGACAGGGTAAAAAAGTGCGCATGCGAGTGAGTGTGAGTGTGTGTGGGGGGGGGGGGGCCACCGCGGTGCATCTCAGCAGAGGTTACCCGCGGGTCAGGCGGGGAAGTCCCCCCGACGACACAAGGCTGACCGACTCCGATTGAACGCGACCCGCCTTTCTGACGACGAGGAATATGGGTGGAGTGGTCCAAAAGTAATCACTTCAGCCGGAGTAAATCGCTGCGAGATATAGGCCGATAAGGCGCGCTCAAGTGGCGGCCATAGATTGGTAATATGTGACCTTACATCATGGCAGCGCCATTAAGATAACTTACTGACCACCACTGCGCTGACTGCGCTTACGGGGCAGATGACACTGTCGCCCAAGTGTCGCCAGACTAAAGACGTTTTCGCGTCCGGTAGACGTTACGTTGGCAACAAGGGGGGCGGGCCCGGGCGGGGCGGGGCCGTCGAGGGGAGATTGTGGGCGATTTGAAGACCGTCGCGAGCATAGAGCCGAAAATGGTTTCGGGGAATGCCTTCGGAAAGTGCGCCGGTTCGGCAAGCGGAAAAGTCAGCGTCGGGAAAGAAATTGCGTACATTTTCTGTGCCAGAAAATAAGTTGTGGCAGCTCTGTTTTTTTTTTTGTTGTTTTTTTTTCATTGGGTTGGAGATGTCCTGAAGCCACCCTCGCGTGCCCCAGGCCCGTGCCACCGCCCAGTGCTCAGCGCGGCTCAGCGCACGCAGTGCACGGGATGGGGGCAAGGGGCCTCTAGCTCCGGGTCGATCCTGACAACGTCCCCGCTTGACTCGGCTTGACTCGGCTTGACTCCACCCATGCCGGCCGGCACTGCCGGCACTGCCGCGGCGAAGCCCAAGCCGGTCGACGCCAAACAAGCCGTGTGCTCTCAGCAGCGCCTCGCTCTTACGGACGCGATTCTGCAGTTTTGCTCTGTTTACTCGTAGGCCAGGCATACGTCGCGCGCGGTCGCCTCAAGCATTATTTACCTTGGACCAGCAACCTTGAAGACAAAAAATCCGATTTCAGTTGTGGGGAAGGAACGGTTTGCGCGGTGGTTCGAAGTACTTTCTGCCACTTTAAGGTGGGAAATTTGTGCCGGGAAATAAAGTCTTTGTGAGGGCGTCGAGGTGTTTGTGAGTGTAGGACACGCCCGGCTGCTATGATTGAATGGAATTAACCCTAGCAAGGACCCGCATCACGCGTAATCAACAGCAGTCTGTAACGGAGGTCCTGGTCCCGATGGAGCCCTTTTCGGTGCGGGAATTCCTGCGTACTATAATTCCACCACCATGTAGTTCAGGCGGTCGACCGTGTCCTTGCCACAAATTGCAATCACACTCTGTTCACGCACTCGCCGGTGTCCGTATGGCGATCGTCCCTGCAGCCCTATCGTGACCGCGAGCGCTAAAAGCAAAAGCACTCACGGCCGATACGGCGGCGCGGACGCCGGACGCCGCCAGACGGCGCGTACTCACCTCGTCGCCGTGAACCCTCGCCGAATGGGTGTCCTGTCCGCGGGCCGGTGGGCGTGGGACGCGGCGTGGGGCCCTCGGGGCTGTGACGGGCACCTAGCCTGCGGTGCGATGCGGCGATGCGGCGCGTCCACTCGCGCGGTCCTGTGTGAACGCGGCCCTGCCTGCGGCCGTCGCGGTGTCGCGGTGTCCGCCGGGGGGCTCTCGTTGCTCGTTGCGCGACCAGCACGCCGACTACGTAGACCACGTCTGGGCGGCCCATGCCCGCACCGAGGCCCGCGGCCCGCGGCCCGCGCTCCGCACCTCGCCGCCGAAGGGGCATGGCGGGGCCTAGAGCGGGGCCGGGCCCAGAGGGGCGTGCCAGCGTGCCGGCGAGGACCCAGGGCACGGCCTTGTGGGTGGGGCTGGCTGGGGCTGGCGCGCCGAACGCCACCTTGCCACTTCGTCTTATCAATTCGCATCATTCTACAACAGTGCCATGCAGTGCCATGCAGTGCAGGCGCCATGGCGCTCTTGAAATTCCCGCGCCCGAGTGGAGCCTCAAGCGCCACCTCACCTCGAGGCCTCGAGCGCCGCCCAATGTGGTGCGAAGCTGCAGGCCGGTCGTCGCGCTGTCGCTGTCTCTCTCGCACCCCTACGGAACGAACGGGCCGCGCCGTGAGTGCGAGAGAGACAGCGCGCTGCTTGCGATGCCGCGTCCATTATTCAGGGCCTGCTGCTGGCGTGCCGCGTGCCGCTGCTGGCTTCCCTCACGGTCCCTTCGGTTGGGTTGGAGACTTTCCTTGAACAGATGGAAATGCGGTTCAATGAGAGATAAGGGAAGGCCAGGCCGGCCGGCGTGACGGTGTAGCGGCCGGCCGGCGCGCGGACATACCCCGCGTGCTGCCGCGCGGTCGGTTCCGAACCGCGGGGTATCGCCGCTGCGGCGCTGCGCTCTGGCGGCGCGGGGTAGCGACACAGAGGCGGGCTCGGTGTTCGTTCGTTACTTTGGTGATTCGTAAGTAGAGCTGAAATTGACATGAAGCGACTCTTTGTTCTGAAGCATACGGTGGCGATTTGAAGAAGTCACTGACGAAACCAATACAGTGGGTGTACCTCGTTTTGCGCCGGTTTGCAGGGTCCACTTTTATACTGGCAAGCAGTCCTCAGATATTTTGCAGTCAACATCAGTGATGAAGGTGTGCCCTTCCGTGAAAAGTCCTCCATCTCTGGAAAAGAGACAATCCTCCAGCAGTGCTGGAGGCGGCCTTCCCTTCCCTTCGCGCGTCACTTTCCTGGAAAAGGCTCCTTCGGCGGCTTCGCGAAACTCGCAGGACTCGGCGGACCTCTGTCGGTACGGATCGGAACTAATTTGTCCTGGCCGCTCATCCCAAATTATTTTCCTCCTAATGTGCGAAACTGCGGTCTGCGGGTCTGCGGGGCGAAGAGGTGTCGGAGGGGCGTAGGGGGGCGGCTAACCCGACCTGGTTCGGGAGCTCGGAGCACACAAGACACCCTGAGGCTGAGGCCCGCGAGAGGCCCGCGAGAGGCCCCCGAAGGGTACCCAGGTGCAAGCGGGGCCCGGGTAGCCCGGGTAGCCCTGGGAAGCCCCGGGCGGGGCGGTGGCGGGGCCTCGGGCGGCGCGGCGGAGGCCTGAAAGACCGGATCTTCTTTGATGGTGCCGACACGATGGGCTCAAGGCACGCTCAAGGCACGCTCAAGGCACGCTCAAGGCGGCACCGGGACCGAGCCAGTGGCGGATCAAGCGCGCCGAGGGTGCAAAATACTAGCCGAAGCCGCTCGCTTTCGGGGGCCGCGTGTATCGGATTACAGATGAGTTGCAGCGGATTTTAAAACGTGTGAGGGGAACTCGCACCTCTGTGACACGGCGAAAATGACGAGGTGCTGGAGCGACTCGAAGCGAGGCAGGTGCCTGGCGACTGGCATTTCGTTCCACGGCAACGGGTGTGCGAACAAGTCCCGGCCCAGCTCCACGCGCCCACCAACTGTTCTTGATTCGCCTAGGCGGTGACGCGGTGACAAATCAAGATCTCCGACCGATGAGAATTCGACGCAATAGACGCACCACACGTTTCGGCCGGACTTGAGGGGCCAGGCTCAGGCAGGACCAAAGGTGTGACTAAAGGCGGTGCCAAAGTCAAGGGCGGGGCGAGGCGGGGCGGGGCGGGGCGGCGAAGCGGCGGCGGGGCTGGCGACGCGGGGCGTGTGGTGATCAACATGTTATCTCCGGCCAGGCCAGCAGGTGACACGAGGCGGGGCAGGTTGTCCAGGGAGAACCTTCGGCCTTCGGGGACCGTCCCGTCTCCTCCGCCCCCGTGCCCGCGGCCCCCAGGGCGGCCCCCTACACGCACTCCTTCCCATTGTCCCCGCTACTCGCCCCCCTGGCTGGGCCGAGGGCTGGGCTGCCCCTCCTGCCCCAGGCAGTTGCGGGCTGGTCCCGTCCCCCCACCACCCCGCCCTGCGTGTCGGCATGTTCCCTTTGAAGTAGCCTCCTGATGATCCAGTGTTTGCATTGCTCTTAAGACCCGTAAGATTAGGCTGGGCCGCGCCGGCCGGCCGGGTGGGGTTGGGAGGGAGGAGGGGGATGGGAGGCGGAGGCCGCTTGTCGCGCCGCGCCGCCCGCCCGTCGTCTGTCCAGCCACGCAGCCACGCCGGGAGCACCCCGAGCAACTCGAGGTCCGCGGCAACGCTGCGACAAACAGCAGGGCGATTCCGAACATCGCTCTGTCTCTCTCGCACTCGCAGATATTAGGTGCGAGAGGGACAGCGACAAAATCAGTCTGCGCAGCCGGGCCGCGGAAAGTGAAAATAAGCCGGGGAGGCATTGTCATTGTCTCCGAGACAAGGAGCAAATTGAGGCTGAGTGACAGGGGCGACGTGTTGCATGGCAGCCAATGGCAGCGGACACGGGCGCAGCCTCCAGTGCCTCCAGTGCCTCCAGGGCCTCCAGGGCCTCCAGGGCACGGCGAGGTGACTATCCTGCGGGACTTCCTCGGCACCTTCGTGCATGTGTAGAACGCCCTATGAGGCATAGTCAGCGATGGCGGCTAGCACACTGACAACGAGCCAGCACCCACCACAGCCTGCGTGCTGAGCACAATGTGCGAAAGTGGTGAAAGTCGCCGGTAAGTTTACTGATACCTTTATAAAATGTCGGTGTGCATCAACGAGTACAATAGGTATAATTATTGAAAAATAAACTATGTTTCCCTGCATTTGCTGCTGGTTTCAGGAAAACGGTGTCTACGCTCTCTAAATTTGTCGTGTTGTTATCGTAAAGGAGTTCAAAGGACGGAACACCGTGTTGCACCTTGCAGTGCAGGGCACAAGGGCTCCGCGGCTCCGCGTCGTCCCCGCGTCTGTGGAGGAGGAGGAGCCGAGCGGCCGCGCCCACCCCTCCCCTCCGCTCCGCTCCGCCGCCCCGCCCCACCTCCCCCCGCGCGGCCCCGGAGCAGGCCGAGCAGGCCGAGCAGGCCGAGCAGCGCAAGCAGAGCCCCTGGGCGGACCCTTAGGCCAGCCAGACCGACACGGGGCTCCGAGAGGTCCACGACAGTGCCACGGCAGTGCAGTGCGAGCACAGGAGCGGTACGGAGTGGACGCCGAGCTGTCGCCGAGGACGTGCAGGACGACGTGTAGGACGACGTGAAGTGGGCGAAGTGGCTCGGAGTGACGGCCCCAGCGCTGCGACGATGACGACTGCCTGCGAATGCGCCCTCTGACCGAGATCGCCGCCGTCAACGCCTGGACTTTTTAGTGATTTCTTTTCCCTGTGTGATTCTTCTTTGAGCTCCATTTCGCGGTGTGCCAGATTGCCATCATGGATGCGTTGTTGATACGAGGTGAGTTTCCGGGAGACGAGACCGGCAGATGGGGCGTGCTGGACGCGAAGTCATTGTGTGGTTGCCTTGCAGTGCTGCTGGCGCTGGCGCTGCTGGGCGCGACGCGGTGCCGCGTCATCCTGGACGTGGACGACGACGCGGGGGTGACCGGCGGCCCCGCGGAGGACGGCGCGGCGCGGGTGTCGCGGTGGGCCACGCGCGCTCACGACTGGCTGCTGGGCACGGCGTGCGTCAACGCGTCCGCGACCCCCGCGGACTCCGGCGCCGCGGAGGCGGGCGACCTGTGCCGCGACCTGGTGGAGGTGCCGCGGGCGCAGATCCGCGTGTACGCCGCTGGACGCGGCACCGGTGCCGTCGACGACGTGGACCCCGTGATGGCCACCCTGGTGGGCCCCGAGGGCGGCAAGCCCCAGGGCCCCCACGACGCGGTGCTCGTCCTGGACCCGTACCCCACGGCCAGCTTCGGCCACCTCGTGCTCGTCTTCTTCGTCGCGCTGGGGACCACGGAAGAGCGCTGCGGCCAGGTCCGTGGACTGCGTCTTGGTAAGTTCAATCATTTTTCTCCGACTCCCCGCAGCCCGGGTTCGATCCCCGGCCCCAGCGCCTCCGCTTCGCGTTTTCTTCTTCTTTTTCCAGAGGGCGCTCCCCTCGTTAGTTTTGTTTCCCTGTCAGAGCAACTTTGTTGCATTCGTGGGCCGACCTTGCGCGTACCTTTGCGGGTGCCTTGCGGCGCGCACGCCCCAAAATCTGGACGCGGACCGTGGACGGCGGCGCGTCAAGGGCGCACCGCGACGCACGCAGCACGCACCGCAGGCCCTCAATTTCTTTCAAATGCCGTCGCCGCCTTTCGCGGCATGCGGGCCCGGCGGGGCTGGCGGCGGCACGCGGCGGCGGTGCGTTTCAGTTAGTCAGTTAGGCCCTGGCGTGGCGTGCCAGGCGTGCCCCGCACGATGTGCCCTGCACGACGCACGAGAGGCGGCCGATCGACCCCCACTACACTGCGGCGGCGGCGGGCCGGGGCGAATGGGGAGTAGGGGGCGGGGCGGGGCCGCGGTGTGGCGGGGTGTGGCGGGGTGTGGCGGGGTGTGGCGGGGTGTGGCGGCGCGGTGCGGCAGCCGGTGGCGGCTCGGCGGCACACGGCAAAGGCGGCCAAAGGCGGCAGACGGCTGTCGCGCTGCGGCGGCGCCTTTCATCTCGCCGCTACAGCCACCATTTTGACACTTGCAGCGTATACAAGGCCTTTGATAGTGCCGCCCGCCGCCGCGCGCTGCCCGGGCTGGCCGCCGCCAAAGGGGATGGCCGTCAGAGGCCGCCAGGAGGGGCGGGGCGGGGCGGGGCCGGGCCGGGCGGCTGGGGGGGCCGGGCGGGGGGGCCGGGCGGTGGAGTAGAAAGGTGAGACGTCCAGGCCTCTAGCGTCCGGGGCCGTCTCGGGCCTCTCTGCACCGTCACGCCGCGCGCCGCCCGTACGAATGTGTTTGCCAAGCCGGCCGAACGCCAAAGCCCGCTCGGCCTGCTCGGCCCAGCCGTGGCCCAGCCCAATCAATCGCACTGTCCAATGCCGCGGCCGGGGAGCAGCCCGTAGCACGCCGACAATTAGGCTCGCCGGGCTCATTAGAGTGGCGCCGCGCACCGAGCCCCTCCAGGACCTGCAGGACCTCCAGGACCTGCAGGACGACGGCGGCGCCCCGTTTCCACGAAGCAGCGGAGCCTTGGACGGAAAAATTGTCTGTCGGAGACTTGAACGCGCGGGCTGAGCTGGCAGGACACCTCGGTGAACGAAGCGGTGGCGAAGCGGTGGCGAAGCGGTGGCGAAGCGGGCCGCCTGGAACGTGTGTGTGTGTGTGTGTGTGTGTGTGTGTGTGTGTGTGTGTGTGTGTGTGTGTGTGTGTGTGTGTGCGTGACGCGAAAGCGAGACAATATCTCGTCCACAGTTGCTCCGTCCTTCGAGGGCGACCGTTTGATTCGGATCGCCGAGATGTTCGTCCTGCCGGCGCCCTGACCTACCGTCTTCCATGAGGGCTTCCTTCTCGTGCGTGGCCGTGACTCCACCCCGCCCTGCGCCCTGCCCCGCCCCGCCCCGCCCTGCTCGGAGACTCCCGGCCACCTTCGTCTTAATTGCCCCATGAAATCCTTTCAAGTCGCCGCCGTGCCGCGGTCGGCTCGCCGTGGCGCCGTGGTCCTCCCCGCCGCCGTGCGGCCGGCCGCTGCTGGCCGTCGCCGTCACCCGACGGACACGTCCTCGTCCGCGACGTCGTCTTCTGCAGTCTTCTGGCCGTTGGCCGAGGCGCCCGCGTGTGGGTGTGGGTGGTCCTGGGCCTGCACGTCCTGCATCACGAGGAGCGTGCGTGTCCTCGCGGCTGACCAGGCAGGGAGCGGCGTGCGGCGGCGGTCGAGCCAAGAGCCAAGCCACTGTAAAAGCGGCTTGACGATGAGGCCGCGCCGTGCCGCCCCCGGTCGCCCCCAGGGTCTCTAGGGCACCTCCAGGCCCACCTCCAGGGCCACCTCCAGGTCCACCAGGGCTGCCTACTTGTTGTGCTCCCTGTGCCGGCACCGCCTTGTGCCGGTGCCGATGGCACGCCGCGCCGATCTCCTCTCCTCCGCGTAATCCGTGCTGTAAATCTGCACAGAACAAGGCACCGACTAGCCGACCGGCCGACTGGACCACTTGGCGCAGTTTTTACTCGTTTTATTGTTTTATTTAAAGGGCCATTGTCGTTTTGGGTTTTGGCGGTGCGCGTGCGCAGGGGCCTTACAGTGCGTCCTATTCGCGAAAGAGTGTATTTTGTCGCGATGCACTCAGAAATACAACTCCCGACGGCCGGCCGCGCCGTTTTTGCATCTTTTGGCGCGCGTCGCGCGTTGTTGTGGCGGCACTGCGTGTCCTTCCAGGTCCCGCTTGGTCTGCTCCACGGCCACGCTGGCCCCGCCGCGCGTCGCCGCGCCGACAAAACACAAACATCGCCGGATTGTCGGATTATATTGTGCGCCGAGGTCCGAGCGGAGGGCGACGACTGATTGGGGCTCCTGTTTAGGCGGGGTGGGGCGGGGCGGGGCGGGGCGGGGTGGGGCCGGGGCACGGGTTGCTACCGGGCCGGCGGCGGCGGCGACGACAAGTAAACGAAACCGAGAGGTGTTGTAAACCATTACAAACTGCCGGTGCTCCTGTGCTGCCGTCCGCCCCCAAAGCACTCAAAGCGAGGACCCCGCCTTGCCCGGCCGAGCGCCACCGAGCGCCCGGCTACCGGTCACTGTCGGTCACTTTTGCCGCCAGCCAAGGCTGGCAGCCAAGGCAGCCCAGGCAGCCAGCCAGGTGGACGCGGTGCGGCTCGTCTTCCTCGCGAAAACAAGGGCCGTCCGGGAAAAGAAACTCAGCGACTATAATTCGTGTCGGCTGCCTTCTCATCAAGCCAGTGCCGACTATTTCGGCGAATCGAGTCGAGATTTCCCGCCTCGTCAACTTTGTCGGCAACATGCTAATGCATACGAGTGTGTACCTGTGTACCTGTGTGCGTGTGTGCTCGCGTGATCACGCTGATGAACGCCTGTCTGATGTTGCAGAAAATGGAGACTGCGTGCAGCCAGCCCGGGAACCGCGGTGCTCTCCCGGAGGCGGGGCGCCGGCGCCGCTGGGGGCCGAGATGGGCGCGGGGGCGGGGGTGGGGGCGGGGGCGCCGTGCGAGCTGCTGTTCCTGCCCCTCGTCACGCCGGCCTCCCTGTCCCCGCACCAGCAGCACGACCGCCTCCGCTGCAGGCACGACGTCGCCGGTACGTACTGCAGGACGTCCTCGTCGTCGACATCGCCGTCGCCCATCTTCACCGGCACTGACTCCTCGTGGTTTGGTGTGACGCAGGTTTCGCCGCCACCCCCTGCCCGCGGCTGCGGCCCGCGTCGCAGGTGTCCCCGCTGCGCTGCGACCCGCTGTCCAGCAACACGAAGCGCTGCGACACGACGCAGTCCCTGCGCACGCGCTGCCCCTTCATGCAGACCTGCGACCATGTGAGTGTCCCGCGGCAGTACAGTAGCTCGGGCGCCTGCCGCGCCGGCCGCCGCACTCTGGTGGCCGTTGGGTTGCCTACCGGCGCGGCGCGGCTCAGGCCCGCTGGACGCCGAGGCAGTGTGGCGCCGTGACGCGACGTTCGGACGATTGGAAGCCGCAGAAGCCGCGGCGTTACATAGGCGAGACAAAAGGGAACACGCTGCCTGCCTGCGCAGCCTAGGCTGGCCTAGGCCGTCGAATGGGAGCGTCGGGAGTGTCTAGCAAGTCTAGGACGCACCGTGTGCGACGGTGGTGGGGGCAGGCTGGCAGATAGTGGCATGGGTTGTGACTGGCTGTGACTGACGCGGAGTATGATGTTCGGAGCAGTGGGTTCCCGAGGCCCCGGCTCTGGCAGCTTTGCGCTGGGGCACGGCAAGCGGTGATAAAAAACAACAACAACAAAAACGGCATTGATCGCAATACTACAGTTTGCGCTTGTGCGGCCCCTATCTGCGTCCAGCTGATAATCGCACAGGAATTGGGTCCCCAGTCCCCTCCCCGCCGGGAATGAAATACTAAGAGTCAGAGTTCTGGTATCTAAGTGACACACTCGTCTTCGACAACTCACGTTGTTGACTAGTCTAAATTCCAATTCAAAAATGACTGCCAGAAAATGAGTCACAGCAAGCAGCGACCACATAAAAACCACACATGATGAAGAAGCAAAGCTGATTTTTGTTCGACTTGGTTGTCCTGTACAGGCCGTGCTACTGTCCGGGGGATGGAACAGGCACCTCAGCGACTACTCCAGCCTGCAGAACGTACTTCAATTTCATGGAATGTTGAAGCACGTCGGTTTCCACGAGGACAACATCAAGGTCTTCTTTGCCAACGGCTTGGCCCCCCAGGCCCCGCAGCACGGACAGGAAGGTGCGTTGTTCTCCAGTCACGCCTCTCGAATCCGAAAAAAATGGGACTGTGTTCATGGAGTGGCTCTGTGCAGGCGGTGATGCGACCCCCGCGATGTATCCCTCCGCCCTGAAGCTCGCCCTGCGCTACCACGTGCACCGCCTGTGCGAGACGGCGCGCTGCGCGGACACCCTGCTGCTCTACTTGAACGGGCCCGCGCTGCCCGGCGGCGCCACGCTGCTGTGGGACGCCGACGGCAACGGTCAGGTAAGCGCCTAAGCCCGCTGCCGCTGGTGCTGGTGTTCGAGCGTCGGCTCACGCCAAATGTTGTCGCATGTTGCAGCTGGACGAGACCGAGGTCTACTCCGCCCGGGAGCTGCTGCGCGATGTGTCGCAGTGCGGTGCGCGCCGCGTCGTGGTCGTCGCGGACCAGAGCTACGCCAAGGACCTCGTGCGGCACGCCGCCCAGCTGCACGCCGCGTCCCGGGGGCTCCGCAACGTGGTCGTCATGGCGGCCACGTCGGCGTCCTCGGCCACCAGCTGGACCGGCCACTGGACGGCGCCGAGCCACCGGCATGCCTGCCTCGCCGACATGGCCAAGGTGCGCCCCTCCGTTCCCACCAAGTGTCACGAAGCCAAACCACGACCGCAGCGTTCGGATACGGGCTGCGGCGCGCGGCGCGGTCCCCGAACACTTCGAGCCGAACCCCTATAATAACCGCTTGAATTTGTCCAGCAGGAGAGCGACGCCGAGGCCATGTTCCTGGGCAGCGCCGCGCTGCTCAACACGACGGTCACGGGCATGCCGTGCGCGCTGGCGCAGGGCCTCGAAGGACTCAAGGGGCTCTCGCGGGAACAGCAGAGGCTGCGGCACCGGTACAGCGGCTGCCAGAACCTGTCGACGCGCGAGTGGATGGCCGCCCAGGACGACAAGGACGACCCGCTGGACGGGCAGGACTCGCAGGAAGACGAGGACCGCGACGACGATGACGCGGCGGACGCGTCCAGCAACAGGAGTCGCTCCGAGAACAACGCGTAGGCCGTAGGGCCGTAGGGCGCTGCGTCGGCGCGGCTTTCGCAATCCGTGAGCCGAGAGGGTGGAACTGAGGCTGGATTGGAACTCAAGCCTGTCGTGTGGAGGGACTGTCACGATCAAAGTTGACAGCGCGAAGGGGTCGTGACGTGATTTTTTCCGGGCTCTAAAATACGTACTTAACTCCAAACCGATTGAATGTGATTGACTGTTCTGAAAGTGGTGGTTGGAGGTTTCCGCACAGGAGCAGTTGTAGCCCCAATGAAATAATATGGCTATACCAAAAACTTTGTTTATTTTGTAGAGACGCTAACAGAAGTGATGGCAACGTTCGGAACATGGCTCCCGGCATTGTCACTTGGTGTCAGCGGCTATGATTTTATTTATAAAATTGTTTTGTTATCACGTTAATTTTTGTTCAAGAATAGTTTAATGATTACAAGGTTTTATTATTATTTGTGTGTTTGCTCGTGCTTCCTTCCCCTGCAACCTCCCTGAGGAGTGGAAAGCAGAGAATTTGAAGGGGGAAGTGGCCGCGATTTGTGGCAGGGTGGTTGAGCCGTTGAGTCGCGAGGGCGCGGGAAAGACTGCTGGCGCCGCCCGCGCTGCGCTAACGCTACGCGCCCGCCCGTTCGGCCCGGCCAGGCCAGGGCGCAGCGTGCGACCGGACCTGCCGGACTGCGGTGCGGGGACGCCGGGACAGAGGCACTTGTTGTCCGAGTGCTGGCCGCGCTGGTCTTGCTCGCCGTGCCGGCCCGCGGGGCCGATGCAGGTCCAGGACATCGTGGTCAAGGACACGAGACTGTGAAATACTTTTTGTACAAATTATACAGTATATATATATATATATATAAATTTATATTTTTATCGTGCTTGGTGGGAAACCAGGTCAAAGTTAATAACGTGATAAAACGTCTAATCATCATCATTGTACATAAAGGGCCATCTTCTCTTCATAACATCATGTACATAAGTTCACCGTGCGATATCTCAAATAAAGACATATTATATTGACAAGTTGTGTACAGAGAATAAAGAAGATTGTGATTCTATACAAGTCCAAATTCCACTTGGTCGTTCATTCCTCCCGACTCGTTTATCACTCTCCAAGAAAGCCGGCGCGCTTCCTGATTGGCTCCCTCGCGGTGTTCACCTAAAAGCCCAACGCGAAACCATCACGCAGCACCGCGCAGCACCCATGGGTGCAATGTGCGTGGCAATGTGCGGGGCACGGAGTGGCACGGAGTCACGGAGTGGCACGGCGCGGGGACGACCTTGTCATAAGCGCCTGCCGGGCCGCGTGCCGCTGCACCGGCTGCACCAGCTCATTCCGAAAAGCGCCGCCGACGCTCTCTCTCGCTCTCATGGGGCTTGCCTCGGGCTTGCCGTAGGGGTGCGAGGGAGACAGAGCGACGAAGCACTGTTCGGAATCAGCCTACAGCCCACGGTGTTCGTTTCCCTCGACACCCGGCCTCCACGGCGTACAGTGCTGCTTGACTTTCTGGCTCTGCCGTCCCGTACTGCGCTGGTAGGCAACCCAAGGGGCATAGCCCGAGCCTGGTCGCTGGACGGCATGCGTTCGGTTCGGCGTGACGCGACACGGCGACACCGTCTGTCCTCCTGTGTCGGTCCCTAATGTGCCCCGCAATTAGGGCGGGCAATGATGAAACGTGCCGGCGCGCCATCACATACAGTGCAGTGACTGCCGGCCTGCCGGTGTAGTGGCGGAGCGGCGGCGGTGTGGTGACGAAGCCGCTTCCGCCGCGAGCGCGTGGGCGGCTGGGCGGCGCGGAGTGGCTGCTGTTGTGAATCACTCCGCGACACGGAGCCCGTAGATAACAAGTGAAGCGCTGCTTTTTGCGGTGTGGTCGCGGGCCGCGGGTTCACAGCAGACACAGCGGCAGTCGCGGGGCATACCGGGTCCTCCCGCCACTCGCCACCTCGACGGCTGCAGCCTGATTCCGAGCTCTGTCTCTCTCGCGGCCATTCAGTGTGAGAGAGGCAGCGCGACGAAAATGACCCTCGAAATCAGTCTGCGGTCGCGCAGGTCGCTGATAGAGTCCTTGGGGACTTCGCGTGACAGTAGAGACTATGGGTATCTGATCGCCACCACGCCGCACGCGGCCGGACGCGGGCTGGACGCGGACGAAACCAAAAGGACCGATGGACCGGCGGCGCGGTCCTGGCCGGCCTGACTCAGAGAGGACGGCCCGTCCTCTCTGGCCTGACTGTCGCACGACGCGAAAAAAGCGGGGAAAAAGTTGCCGATTGCGGCCGTCTCCTAAATGACGCGAGCTCCGCGCGTCAGTCACGGAATACTTAGAGATCTTGAACTGATTACGCGCTTTTTTGACGAATCGGCTTCCTGCCAAGCGATTCGCAGGATGTGTCGTCGCTCTGACACCCTCGCACCCCTTTGGTTGGGGTTGCCAAGGGTTCCATGAGTGAAACAGAGACAGCGACAAAACAATCACCTGCCAGGGGCGGATCCAGAGCAAGCAGGAAGGGGTGGGTGGGGGCGCATGGCCAGCATGGCCGCATGGTGGCGGAGCGCTGGCTCGCGTTCTGGCCGGAGGGGAGCGCAGCGCCACGCGTGACCTGGTGACCGCACCTTAGGGAGAATCTGAGGGGCTTCAATCGTCCGAGGACCGGGGGAGGGGGGGGGCAGGGCTTTGGTAACCCTCAGGTAACTCTTCGGACGGCGTACTGTAAAAGCGGGATGGTCGCGAGTCCGCCCAGGGCCAGGCCGTTTGGAGTTGGCCTCTCGGGTCGCGAGCCGCGGCGCAAGGCAGGCATGGCATTCCATGCGTGTGCCTTTTCCCCAAAGACGCTCACTTTGTTGCGGTACTCACTCTCACTGCGAGCCAGTGAGCCAGAGAGAGAGAAAGACGGGGGAGGGAGAGAGGGAGGTCCCCGAGGGGCTTTCGTGCGCGTACTGGCCGTGCGGGCGCCAGCAGACTGATTCCAAGGGGGGCTGTCTCTCTTGCACCCCTACGGCACGACCCATGTGTGCAAGAAAGATAGAGCGACGAGCCCACGAGACCCTCTCTCGGAATCAGCCTGCAGGCGCTTATTGGCAGAAGAGGGCGCGGTCCGCGGGGGAGGGGGAGGGGAGGGGAGGGGAGGGGGCGGTGGCGGCGGCACGGCGCACGACGGCGCGCGCGCGCCGCGCGCGCAGGGCCTTTGGTTGTTCCGTTCGTCGTCGTCGTCGTCCCGTCAGCTGGCGCAACGGCAGCGTGCGGGCGTTGCGTTGCGTCTCGTCTCGTGGTGGCCGATTCCGAGCCGGTACCCTTTCCGCGTCGGCTAGACTGTGTTTGAAAATTTGCCCTTCAAAATGGACCTCCTCAAGACGTTTTCCGACAAGTTCTGGGACCGAGACATCTGGTTGCCGCCGAATATTACGTGGGCCGACTTCAAACCCAACGACAAATATGTCTATGCCGACCATCGC